GGCGAACGGTGCGGCCTGAGGCGGGCTATTCCTCAAGTGCTGCTGGAAATTTTAATTATCCAACTACTTCCAGAGATCCAACTTGGAAGAAACGTTCTAACTAGTAAATAATTGCAGTTATCATTGCATCAGTTTAGTTTAAAGAGCTGACAAACCTCTCTAAACTCAAAGCACAATTAGTCATTAGGGTCTAGTTTTTCAGCACTGTTAAGCAATTTGTAACCCATTCCTTTTAATAGGGTTATGCATTACTTAACCGACACAGATGTCTTGAAAACTGAAACCGCTGGTTATGAAGCAGCAACCTTGTTCATTAGCTTCCATGATAGTCAAATCATCTATAAAACCAGTGTTTAATGGCCAGCCAATGAATAATCAATGTCTCACTTTTCATCTGAGTGTGAAAGTGAGAATAACCTAATACACTGTCCCCCTGGTAAAACGCGAGGCCTTGGGTTCCGTTTCTATTCAGGGCTGATTTATAACCCAATGGAAACCTGATGTAAACATATGATCAATGAGTCCCATCATTGCTGATAATAACCCCCAACCGGCCCGCTCCCTCATCTCAAAAGCCATCCCTTTAGGCTATTAGTTTCGTCCAGCTAATCCTCTCTACTATTTCTGCCTGCTGCTTTTACCTTGGCCATCCGTTCAGTCCAGCAGACTCAGAAGTAATTTTATACGCAGCAGAGAGCGGGTGGAATTGATTTTTCACTCAGTGCTCAGTTCCCATCTGAATAATTATCAATTTTACTGCCTCATAAAGGGAAGAGTCAAAATTTCAAATCAATTCAAAAGAGCTTCTGAGACTACAGAAACTCTGCATGAGAATAAAGGTCAAAGTTGTCAGTGACCTCGGGAGATGATGTCAGATATTAGTACACTGAGTAGTTGACATCAGAGGCACTCAATATGATATGACTAGTGCTAATGCAAATCATATTTATGCTGACTACTGGAGACCAGCCATTAATATTTAAAAGAGTATGTGAAAGCCTGCATTCAAAATAAATACAACGTATTCTGCAGAATCTGAAGTTAATAAAGACAGATCACCGCCTAGTCATATGCTGTGAAGTGAAAGATTACTGCATATTAACAGACAAAGTATTACATCGAGATTGCCACAAATGCAGGAAAGTCCAGAGCCCAGGTGGCTGTTCTGTCCTTTATGTTCGAATCGTTGCACGCACAGTACAATACTGAGCAATCTGACATACCCAAGTGCTGACTTCATTGCTAGTTTCCACGAAACCCCTATTAGGCAAGTCAAACATAAGAACCTGTAATATGACAAGGGAATCATCATATTCTTATAATGATGTCAATAATAAACACCATTAATATTCTCACAATACGCTATATACTGCCAGGAATATATTAGCTGCCATTAGTTACTTTTCACCTTCAATTAGAACAGTAAACAAATGACAACAATAACTGTGGTGACTGTATGCCAGGCTTTTTCCAAATGACAGCGTACCTATTAGGGAACACAAAGACGACCACACTAGTCATTTGCATTTTGTTAATAACTTCCGTTTTCCTTAAAAGCCTCTAGACCTGTGAAACACGTCTCCTAATATGGCATCCTTGTAACTGCATTAGGAATCCAGAGATTCTTGTAAATATGTGTTTTCAAATAGTTTAATGAGATTTTAAGGGAATGTGTCATAGAGCAAATGTGGAGATGCAGCTATGAACATCCTCATCTCCCTGTAATGTACTTGGGCTGTGATAAACCTGACAGAGCTGGGAAGGGCAAATCTCTCCTAAGCAACACAGCGGCCACTTCCTTTTCAGAAGCTTGACTTTTAATTTCTATTGTATTTACCTTTTAACAGAAAAAAATCCCACCAAGTCACCTACTGCAAAATAAAATATTCAAATTTGATAGCATACAGCCATTCAATTTACACATTTCATTACCAAAATGTGTGCTTCGATGCCAGACTTTGTTGTTCTTACTCTTAAAATACTTTAGAGAGCTTTCCTTCCCATTTGTCCATAGAAATGTATTGATGATTTCACACCTCTCTTTTTATGAGCAAAAATGAAACACCAAGTTTTAAGATACTGTATGGCCAGGTATAGTGTCTACACTTTTCACTATGACAAAAAATATCTCCAGTTTTCAGTTGTCATGAGAACATAACTGAAGCTACCGAGGGCTGCATACTAGCATAGGGAGGTTTGGTTTGTTACTAAATAGTCAATGCTACTCTGGTGTTCAGTGCCACAAAAAAAATAATCAAGAACATTCAGAAATGTAATAATACCCCCCGCGAAAAGACTGCTAATTCACCTGCTGTAGAATTTCTGGGTTCTGCTGCATGAAATGAAGCAACCTCTGTCCGTCCTGTGAAATCTCTCTACATCTTAGAGTCTTCTTGCCTTCTTTTGCAAGGTGCTTGAAGAGGTAGGTGACAATGTAGTCTAAACTAGCACAACAGCTGGAGGAGACAATTGTATCTGTGTAAAAAATGAAACAGTTTTGAAATCGTTTCCATAAAATAATAATTAATCATGACATTTTATAGTCATTATGAGCTATTTATAGTCATTAAGAGCTCAACTTTCATAATCTCTTTGACATTAGGCTAATCGATACACATCGACAAGTCTATTTTTGATACATGAGTTGACTAGCTTTGAAAACTGCTTTTATTAACACATAGCAGTATTAAACCTTTGCTTTTGAGTAACTGGATAGCTCCATGCACTAAAGGTCCTACGAACTCCAGTGAATGTCATTCACAACTGTATGAATGCAGTTGCCCCTCTGTGTACTGGGAAGTGCAGGATGACGGCTGACATTTTACTGGTATTCAGTTTCACACTCGGAAGGCTCCAGATTCCTGGAAACTAAAATCCTGTTTTGATGTGCTTACTGGAAAGGCGAGGTTAAATCAAGTAGAGCTGTTATCCAGGTTTTTCTCAAGTAGTATTTCACAATGTTTCTCTGCCCCAAATAGCTTACAGTCAATGTCAGGTGGCAAACAATGAACAAGGGCCATTAAAGGTAGTAAAAGGGTGATCACAGAACAGCCAATTAGTCATTTTGATTATCAACTAATAATTCAAGCAGGTTAAAGTACATTAAATATGGCTGGCAACAACACAACAACGGTCCCCACCAAATACTTCATAAATGTCCCCAAAACTGAAAGGCATGACAGCAAAGGAGGATACTGCTGAAAAGCACAAGCAAAAGCCACTTCATATCTTTACTTACTGTTTCTATAAGTAAGGGAGATTAAAAGCTTAAACCTATTTGCAGAGTAAATATGTCTGTCTGATTTATGTAAGTTATTTTGTTGCTAGGTGTTGCCTGCTGCGCCGCTGCTGTGAAAGAGGATTCTGCTCGCTTCCATACATCAGCAGGATGATAACAGCGTACCACTGCTCCTTGGCTCTCATGCACGCTCCTCTCGTCTGCCTCTTGAGACCAGCGGTGCACCCTTCCCCCTGCCCAGCTGCTGTCTCCTTCTGCCCTGACACCGGAGATACTCCTTGGCCCCAGGACCAGTGGCCGTGACTTAAGACATTTACAACTGTGCTGCCTCCCAGCTCCGGTTCTGTCATCCTGGCCAGAGTCACACGTTTAAACAACTGCCGGTTCCTCGCAATACCAACACCAAGTGAAGCTCCTTATATACATGCAGTGGCTTAACCTGCTGGGTGCAAGGTTTAGCCCTAACTGATGTTCTCTGCAACTTCAAATGTCAGATCCAAATGAGTGGAGCATTTAGGACTCCATCCTGTTGCCACTGACTCCAGCTAGAACTTCTCTAGGCCTTCTAGAGTTCACACTATTTATTTTAGATGGGCCACTGGAGTAAGGGAGGTGTGAGGGTTGCAAAAGGAATTAAACTGTTAAAATGCTCATTCAGAGGGAAAAGGGATTAGAAGGATCCAATTAAATGTACCTTGAATTCTTTAAACTATGCTAATTTGGAGGCCTGCCAACCTTGCAGCTTTCATTTAAACGCATCCCTCTAGACACTGAAGTATTTTGATCTGTGTCTGTTTAACTCCTTAAGCTCTGTGCTGACACTATTAACCCTTCACCATCTAAAAAGTAATTGTATTTTGCTAAGAGCGTTTTGAAGTAAACATTGAAGAAACATTTACAGGCAAAGAAGATACAAGTGGTCTCCTAAGACTTGATCTTCCAAAGCAACCAGCTGACTTAGCAGCAGGAGTTGAGAGCGATCTAACGGCTCACAGAAACGAGCTGGAGCATCTCAACTCTGGCTCCGCTGGACCAGTGAGCTTCCTAGGACTCAATTTGACAGGGCACGATGTTAAGACACATTGCCGGAACAAAGCTGAGTTCAAAGTTATGAGTCTTGCCAAAGTAAAGACTGCAGAATCTGGCACTCATTATGTTCTCAACCAAAACACTCCTGCATATAAACTAGAAATGCAATTCATGGTGGAATTGAATCACCATCAATAACAAGTGAGAGATTTGAAAATACATATTTCATAGGAGGGCTCTGCTGTATTTCTAAACCAGTGCTTAACTCTATTTCTTTTTAAATTGAATAATACAAAGTAAATCACTATCATCAGTTTACAAAACAGCAGTAGTTCTAAACATGCTGATACTGTACAAGTAGATATTTTACATTCGACAGTAAGTGATTTTAGCAGGACAGCAGACAGGTCTATGCTATCATTTGCTCATGAGAATCTGATATGAGTGTTAAGAGCTACTTAAATTTGCCCATAACTATATATCAAATATGCTTCCCTATGCTCATTTTTCCTTTTGATTGCAAGGATATAAAAGACAGGGAGCGTCAAGCAAACTCCCTTGAACGACTCTTCTGGGCATGTGGAACTTTGTGCTGGAGCAGAATAGTGTTCTCACTAAATCTTAGCGAGACAAGCCAAGACAACCAAATAAATAGAGCAAACAAGAGCAACAAGGAGCTACCAGTTCTGGGCTACGGACAGAAGAAATGGGTGAAGACAGAATACAGATACAATTGTACAAGAAACCAAGGTAAAAGCTTGGTATAATCAGGAAAAATGCAGTCAAACCACGTTTGTCCCTTCTGGTCAACTCAGTTCTATCACCTGTGAACTAACCATGTGGATCACGAAGCAAGCAGGCCGTGCTTACAGAAAACGCCAAAACCAGCTCCACGCGTGTCAGCATGGATCCAGTAACAGTTCAGTAGTTTTGTCAAACAAAACTGAGCTCTCTGGACTTACTTGACAGCAAGGCAGGTGCTGGTGGTGGGCAGGGGACAAGGATGACGACTCTGGCACCAGTCACCATCACATTCAACTAGTTCTTTTGGTTTCTTCTTTGCCAGTATGCATTCATTTCATGTTTTAGGGGCTAACTTTACATGCACTTTTTTATTATCTGCGTGATTTCACCTTATGTAGGCAATTCCAGTCAGTTACTAGCTCAAGTAACTGGAAGTTGAGCATGTATGTTAGAATGGGTTATATTATTTTTAAAAAGCCAGCAAAACCCCCCAACAACTTGAGGATGCCTGTTGGTCTCTACAGTATGACAACAGCATGCTGATGGGGAATTATTTTTCAACAGTTCAATGACATTACTGAATCTCTGCAAATGAAAAGATTTTGCTTCGTTTTTCACATAAAAGCAAGGAGAGGGAATTAAGTGGTATTTTCCTTGTCCATCAATTGCTTACAGTTCAATACTGGCATTATTTGCCTTTGAGACTAAACCTGGAAAGTAAATGGATTTAGCAATTTAACATCTAAATTAGGCAGCAAGACAGAAAAAATGTTTTACTTTTTCCTCAATGAATAGCATACTATACTATTAATCATATGAGAATTAGAAAAGCTTTGCAGAGATTAGTGACAACATGCCAGGCAGACTACATTAAAAGGCTCTGATCCACTGAGTCAGCTGTGAAAAAGCCAGGTAAACACTTTAGAAGAGAACTATTGGAGTGTTTATCCTCGCAATAAAAGCTTAGATGAGGGCTTCCATTACAGCTGATTTACAGCTAGGCATTTCAGAAGGAATACATATTCTTTCACAGTGTTTATAAAGTGTGGAATCAAGCAAGGTATTTACTCAGCAACAGAATGAACACTCCTCAGAAATAAGGATTTGGGGAATGTTTATCCTACAGCTGACAACAATGAGAGTCTCAAAGGTTTCACATATGTAAAGGGAATAGAGAAAAAAGTCAGGTACTTTTTTTCTGTGAAAGAGAAGTGATCTCTTGGTATTTAATTTTCAAAATAAAAAGACAGCTATTTCATTTTTATAAACATTTCTGAAAATGACCTGTATGTTCTAATCAGTTTAAAACACAATTCCCCCTCAGATGGCTTATAGCCCTGAGCCCTACTATTCCAAGATGTTCGTGTGGCACTGATATAATTCAGTGAACAAGCCAGTGCTTGGATCTACTTACCCATTTTCCAAGAGCAGAAGGATGTATGTGACCAAGTAACACATAGGAAATAAATGTGTATTTCACTGTCTGACAATTGGTAATGTCCCAAATACCAAAATTTTTAAAGGGATAAAATGTTTAGAAGAATGACTCTTAAGAAAACACAGTGACAGGTAACTAAATCTTGAGATGATTAAAAATAAATAAATTAAGAGCTATAAACTGATCAAAGAGCTGTTCATTTGGATGTATCATTATAAAAGTATGGAAAATTATTCCATTCACTACAAAAATAAAACTTCTTGAACACAAATGAGGAATTTAATGGCTGATATCATTATCAGTTCTTGATACATGCAGTATTAAGAAACATGATATTAAGGAAAAACAATCACTTTATCACTTCAACATGAAAAGTAAAATAGAAGTGTTTTTCAGCTGACTAATTATGGAAAGTATGTATTAGTCAATGTGCAAGAGGCACTCACAAAGATTAGGGGCTGCATAGGCATTTGGACAGAATCAAAAATTGTTTTGGAAAGCTAGAGAATACAAGTGGAAAATGT